CTCTCTCTCTCTCTCTCTCACTCTGTCCCTCCCTGGTCAAATTTAAATAATAAATAAATAAATTTAAATAAAATAGTTCTTTTTTATTACTTATTTAATTGTACTTATTCATTTATTTACTTTGTTTTGACCAGAGAGAGAGAGAGAGAAGGAAAGTGAGAGAGCAAGGCAGCAGGTCCGGGATTTGAACCACTGTCCGCCATGTGGGAGTGTCCAGCGCTCCAACCAGCATGCCCCCTGCTGGCCCCAAATAAAATAGTTCTTTAAAAAATATTTCAAACTCTATGGACCAGCAGATGGCATAATGGTTACGTTGCTGGATTCTCACATAGTCGACTGTAGTTTGAGTTTCAGACCCAGTGGCCTTAAACTCACTTTGGATGTGTGTGCGTGTGTGGCCAAGATCCCAAGAGGAGAATGGAGGAGAAGGGATTGTGGTGTGGCCATCCCGCCAGGGGGTGATTTCTCACTATCTATCTCTCTGTCTCTCTCTGTCTCTCCAGCGAGCTCATGTGCCCTATTGAAAAACCTCTCTCTTGAAAAAAATTCAAACGCTAGAAAATAAAAATATCCACATTTCCAAAGTCAAAATAATCATTTTTTTCTTTGTAAAATACAAACTTTCTGAGGGCAGTAGGTGGCATGGTGGTTAAGGTGCTGGATCCGCACAGCTGCCTGCAGTTCGAGTCCCAGACCCAGTGGCTGGAGAAATCCTTTTAAGCCTATCTGACTCTTGGACTAAGCGCATGCAGTCACTGTCAACTCTGCCACCCGTGCGCGGTCTTCTTTCTCTTTTCTTTAGGTTTTGCCATAGAGCGTGTGTACTCGCTGGAGAAAGACAGGGAAAGTGAGACATCGCACCCTGGGTGGGGGGAGGCATGCTGCAGTCCCTTCTCCTCCACGCTCCTCCCGGGATTTTGAGAATGCACGCACATGCCCCCGGCGTGATTTTCAGATGGGACTCAAACCACAGGCAGCCAAGTGGCCGTCCAGCACCTTACCTGCTACGCCACCTGCTGGCTTCCATGTGTCACTTCTTTAATTTCCTGGTGGTGTCCAGGTGAGTCAGAGAGATGAAACTCCTTAACACTTATGGAGGGGGCAGCCCGCCCCCCGCAGGGTCCGCTGGGCTCATCACTTCTCCGCTCAGTTCCGCTCTGCGGTGAGGGTGATGGCAGACGAGGAAATCCGGGCAGGCAGAGGCTGACTTCGCGCACGAGAGCAGCCCCATCACCGACAGCCACCTTATCTGCTTCATCCCTGGTTCCGGACCAGGGCTCCTAGGACCCTGCGGTCCTGAAAGAGGTTGTCTTCGTTGGGCCCTGCCAGCCCCGTCCACAACCTGCAGAACTGTAGAGTGGCTCAAAGGTGGTGAAGGGCTGGAGGGGCCGGGCCACAGGGCCACGGGCTGGCCACCTTCCCGGTGGATAACCCCGCCCGGGGCAGCCCTCTGTCCAGCTGCTGAGGACCCCGCAAGTCGGGGTCCACCTCACCACGCCTTGGGCTGTGGCCTGACCAGGGTTTGGCTCCCCCCAATATCTACTCACGGGCATGGAAGGCTGGGTGTGGGAGGGTCTTGGTGAGACATGAGACCCTGTCACAGGTGCTTGTCTTTCTGTCTCTATCTCTCTGTCTCTCACACTGGTGAAAATAAACTTAAAGGACCTCCAACGTTTCAGCACATTCTACATCGCCTTCCTCCAGGATGCCCCCAGCCCCTCCCCTGCTCCCACCCCACCGGGCCCACCCTCCCTTGCTCACCCCGACCTGGAGCTGTCACCCCTCTGGTCCGCACAGATCTGCTACCGTGTGCTAAACAGAAATGCCTGCTGAGGCCGCGCGGCTCAAGACACACAGAGGGTGGTCTGGCGGCTGGAAGGTCCCCGGCATGGGCTACCCTGGTGCTCCGGTGGGCCACGGGGGCAGGGGCAGGCCAGGGGGACAGAGTGGACCTGGCTCCTCCTTTCCTACGAGCCGCTCTGGGCGAGCCCTGCTGTGAGAGCTGGCACACGGGCACACCCCGCTCACATGTGCCAACCGTCTCCAGGGAGGGCTGCCTGCCACGCCTCGCTCTCGCTCAGAGAGGTCTCACTGTGCCCAATGCCAGCACCCCAGCGCCAGATTCCGACACATGAACCTTTGGGGACCAACCAGGACCCAGACCACACACTTCCCTCAGCTCAACGGGGAGGACCCTTCAGCACCTCCTGCCCTCTGCAGCCAGGCTAAGGGCTACTTTTTTTAAAGAATTATTTTATTTGACTTTATTTTATTTATTTATTTAGAGGGAGAGAGCAGGACAGAGACAGAGTGAGAAAGAAAGTGAGAAAGCAAGCTGCCAGGTCCGGGACTCGAACCGCAGTCATGCATGTGGGAGCCCAGTGCCCTTAAGCACCACATCACTGGCCGGCCCCTAAGAGCTCCCTTTGTGTTCTCTCTTCCTGGGATGCAGGGGGTTCAATAATCCCCAGTCTCTACAGTGGAACTGGCAACCACAGTAATGACCCCCTATGGAGAAGGAACCTCCAGAAGCCCTGGGGCTGCAGGTGGGTGGGAAGTGGAGGCCCTACCCCTGCTGCCCACCCCCCAGAGTAGGAAGTGCCATGTTTGATCTGCACTGACCTCACAGGCTGAAGGGCCTAAATCGCTCTGACTGTACCCCTCTCCAGTGGTCCCTGGAACATGGCCCTGGGCTTGCCAGGGGAAGGAAAGGGTTGAGAGGCTGGGAATAAGGGAAGGGCCGGGTGAGGCTTGCTGGTGGGCGGGAGGACTCGCCGCCGCAATGATATCCCTTTAGCATGAGCTTCATTTTGAACTAAAGGCGAGGAAAAAAAAAAGCCAAACCAAAGGAAATTAGCAGGTCCAAGAAAGATGCGCTGACCTCCCCTCTTGTCCTGAAAGGAGGGAAAACCACCGCCTAGGATACACGGTGCCTGCCAGGAGGCAGATCTGGAGGCCTGAGGCTGAGGCGGGGCTGGGCGGGGCGGGTCAAGGTGACTCGGCGGCCCTGCTCAGCTGTGCCCTGGAAGGCAGCAGGTGAGAGTGGTCACAAACACCGGTCTCACCCTTTCCCTCTTTCTCTTATAAAGTAAAAAAATAACAAAATTTAAAAAAATGAATGAGACTCGAGACTTCTGTACAATTCTCCTACAGTGGTCCGTTAGCCTCCCACACACTGCTTTCCGTGCCCGCCTCTGCACAGCGGGGCACAGAAGCACGTGGGCGTCGCCTCGTCCGCGAAGGCTTGGCCCCAAAAGCCACCTGCTGGCCGGTCTCCAGTTCCGGACCCATGTGTGCGCGGCGCCTCGCAGGGCCAACCTAAGAGCGCTGCCCAGCGCCCAGCCGGTGCGTCCCAGCCTGCAGCAAGGCCGGACCGCGGAGCGACCGCGGATGCCAACACTCCTGCGCCCTGCGCCCCGTGTCCTCTGCGCTCGCTCCTCCCGTGATGCTGACTTCAGAAGGTTTGGAAAGCCCCGCAACGCTGCAGAGGTAAACACGCGAGGGCAGAGACCAGGACTCGGGATCAGCGAGGACAGCGATGGGAGATGAAGGGGAGGCGCACCCCGCGGCGACGCGGAGTGTGAACGCAGGTCCCTTCTGCTCCGCCTCCGCGCGCAGGCCCCGCCCCTCTGGCTCCTCCCACTTCAGGCACCCCAGCCTCCGGCT